GTCAGTGTACAGGTCTTTCACAGATGTTTTCAGATGTGTCCCTATTTCACAATTTTTAATGCTATTGAGATGGTACCATTATTTTAAGTTTGATTGTTCATGGCTAGCATATAGAAATACAATTGATTTGTGGATATTTACCTGTATCTTGCAGTCCTGCTAAACTCACTTATTAGTGTTAGTGGCTCATTTGTAGAGTCAGATTTTCTTCAGTGATGATCACATCATCTGAGAATAAATACAGTCTTCCTTTTTAATCCGTGTCTCTTTTCTTTGTCTTGTCGATTTGCTAAAGCCTCTAGTACAATGTTAGTAGAAGTGGTGAGGGTAGATATTCTGAGTTACCCTTGATCTTAGAGGCAAGGCATTCAGTCTTTCACCATTAAATCTGAAATTATTTGTAGGTAGGGTGACCAATGGTCTCAGTTTTCCTGGGATTGGGGGGTTTCCTGGGATGCACAACTTTCAGTGTTAAAACTGGGAGAGTTCTGGGCCAACCAGGATAGTTGGTCGCCCTCGTTGTAGAATCTGGGTCGGTTTCAAGGATTAATTTTTCTCCTCATTATGGGTTGCGTTTCCTACCTCTTTGCATACCTGGTGATTTTTGTTGCATACCAGACATTGTGTATTTTACTTTGTTGGATGCTCAATATTTTTGCATTCCTACAAATATTCTTGAATTTTGTTCTAGGATGTGGATAAATAACTTGAAACAGTTTTATATTCTAGGTCTTTAAGATTCCTTAGGTGAGATAAAGCAGTATTTAGTCTGAGGCTAGTTGTTTTCTACAGCTGAAGCAATATCCTTCTGAGTGCTCTACCCAACGTCCCATAAATTATGAATTTTTCCACTCTCACTGGTGGTACTAGAAAGTAGTCCCAACCCTGTGAGAGCTCTGGGTACTCTTCTTAACCTTTTGGATGGTTTCTTTTTTCCTTACATACACATGCTGGTCAGTGTTCTGCTCAATATTTGCAGAGAACCCTCTGCAGATCTCCTGGGTTCACCCTCTCTGTGACCCCTCCTCTTGGGTACTCTATTCTGTGTTGTATAGCTGCCTTGGTCTCCCCAGAATTCCAGTTGCTTCTCCTCACAAAATCTACTGGGCTCCTACCTTGGTTTCCCTCCTCTGCATCACAGCTTAGTAATTCTCTCAAGGCAGAAAAAGGGGCCACTGTAAAGCAGGATTTGTTTGTTTCCTGTCTCTCAAATGTCACTGTTCTTTTTTGCCTAGGGTCCAGGGTCATGGAAACCATAGTTTCTTACACCCCTCTATTGGGCTAGGAGCTCCTACAAGGCAGCAGCTGTGCTTCCTTTACGGGGCTGGGAACTACCCGAGACCAGGCAGGACCTAGACTTCTGACTTCCTCTTTATGTTTCTCTCAAATCCTTAATACAAGCCAGTTTAACAGATACTTAAATCTATGGCATTTTACTGAATGGTTACTCTCCCCCAAGTTCATGTTCGGTTTCATATGATAAATTTCATGTGACTTCAATGCCTTCAGGATTGCTCTTTCTTACATCAAGTGGTCCCTGAAGCCACACATTCTTCAGAAAGTCTTCCTGGGTGGAGGTAGGTGAATTTCTCCTTACCACACTACTGGCCCTGGAGTTTATGAATCTTTTCCCTTTGTTTTCCATTATCGCAGCGACTCCTCAGGATTTTCTCCCCAGGAAGGTTTCAATTAACCCTACCAGTTCTGTGAAAACATATGGACTTTATGGTTTAAATAACTTCAGGAAATATTGCTAATCAGATCCCACTCATGAAGATTCACAGAGAAAATTAAAATTATACATCTTTGATCACTTAGGCTAGAGTGTACTGGCCTACATCATAGCTCACATCAACCTCAAACTTCTGGGCTCAACTAAGCCTCCTGCCTGTAGCTGGGACTACAGGTGCACACTACCATGCCTGGCTAATTTTTTTTTTTTTTTTTTTGCAGTTTTTGGCCACGGCCAGGTTTGAACCCACCACCTCGGGTATGTGGGGCCAGTGCCCTACTCCTTTGAGCCACAGGCACCACCCCCATGCCTGGCTGATTTTTATGTAAGATTTTAAAGGCTGTGATAAGTACTATAGTAGAGAAACCTGATTGCTTTGTTTAACATGTTTCCTAAATGTGTTTGATACCAGTCAGTTCTATTTAATATCTAATCTCTCTGGACTAGTTATTATTTTTGGAAACATACTTGAAATATAATGGACATACCACGTTGTCATGAGCAAATAAGAGATTTGTATTTTTTTTCCCAGAGAACTCCCGAGACTTCAGAGTTTGCATCAGATGAATGTTTCGTGGTGAATGATTAAATGGCAAATTTGGAATCATTCTCAACAAACCATTTTGACTTTAACCATCCTCACGGATCAGGCTGTTTTTCTAGAGGACTCTCCTTAACCTTTCCCAGTGCAGGTTCAGTTGCTTCTCCCTTTTTTTTTTTTTTAATTTTTTTCTTTTAAAGGTTGTGAATCTTTTATTGATTGATTGATTGATTGCTGTTTTTGGCCGGGGCTGGGTTTGAACCTGCCACCTCCCGCATATGGGGCCGGAGCCCTGCTCCTCTGAGCCGCTTCTCCCTTTTTATGTTCTTCAAATCCCACTTCAGTTCATTTTTTCCTATTTGGCATTGGTTTAATGCAACATGTGTATGGCTGTGTGCATGGACTGGAAAGCACAGATAAAGGGTGGGACCACAGTACTGCACAATTTCAGGGGGCACTTTGCACTGCATTCTGTATGACAGGCTACAGTTTTACAGAAGGGTTTGCAAGTAGAAACTCCATGGACTTTCTCATTTCTGATCTCTGATCACACCATTGCCCTTCTTGGAAAGCTATCTATTCTGCCTCTTCACGTGCCAAAATTCTATCGAACCTTCATGGCCTAGTCTAAAGCAGCCTCAAGGAAACTTTCCCAGGTTCCTGAAGGGACATTAGTATCTTCTTTCTATGTACTCTGGTTTACCAGAGTCTGCCTTTGAACATGATTGTGTCCAGGCCTTTCTCCCTGGCTAGAGTATGCATTTCATAAAAACGGGAGCCATATCTTACTCACTTCTATATCCCTGATTCTTAACACGGGGCTTGGCCAGGCAGAAGCTCAGTGATTGAAGAGTGAAAGAACAAATGAACTGAGAGCCAGTGGAAACCCCAAAGAGCAGGCATCCTGAGCCCTTCTGGGAGAGTCTTGGATGTAGCATGCAAGAGTTCTTCTGGAACTCATGGCAGCCTGACAGGAGAGGAGGGGAATTTCGGACATCAGGATACATGTGTCAGCTCTGGGCCAATCCAGGGAAGTGGTGAGACTCAGTTCAATGTCCAGCCTGCTCTGTTGATGTCATCATCCTGCATGAACACTCAGCATGTTTACGAAGTAGGACACAGAGCACAGACAACTAACTCTTATACACAGGGGCAACTTAGACAGACACAGGAATTATCACAAGAGGTCACATCCTCCTGGAGATGTAGAGACGTACTCTTGGATGCCTGGGCATGGAGAGATACTGTGAGGTGCACCAAACACACATACAAGCTCAGCCATCTCTGGGGCCCAAGAAACACAGCTGAGTGCGATAATAGGTGTTAAAGGGCAAGCAAACATGAGCCCTGAGCAAACACCTGAGCTACCTCTTGATAACCAAAGTCACAGAAAGCTGGAGAGCTAAATATTGACCTGCTCCCTGGCCTCCCTTTCTCTTTTCTAGAATGCAATTCTAGGATGTAAGGCACTAGGCAAGCAAGATCTCTGCAGCCACTGCCTCCTGTAAGGAACCACAGCAAGCAGTGAGGGTGTCCGGCAAGTATCGAGCCAGGTGGGGCCTGTCTTTGCAGGGTTCTGCACTAGAGGCATGGAGGCCTCAGGGAAGGGGGTGACTTCTAATCTTCACCTCTGGGCCATCCCCCTACTGTGGTCTGATTAGTTCTGGACTTTCTCCCTGCTTATACTTTGCCTATGACTGGTTCCAGCTACTATCATTACCATCACAGGGGCAGGGGGTGTGTGTGTACATGTGCACGCCCTGGGTCTGGTCCAGAGCTACTGAGGGGATGGCATGATGCTCCCCACAGTTAGACTGAGTGTCTCTTCAGGGGAAACCATGCCTCACCTGGCATCTTCCAGTGGGAAACAGGCTGCTTTCTCCTTGTCTTCACACTTGCTGAGGGCCCAGGATGAGTGTGGTTTCTGAGCTGGGTTTCTATCAGTGGACTTTTGCTTTCTCTTCCCCACAGATCTTTTGGGAAATCCTGGCCACAGAGGCCTTTTCACACGGGCCTTTGTGAGTCCCCAGACTGTGCATATTAGTCCTTAATAGGTTCAGAGACCTGCAGGCCTGGGAAGTGATTGCCGGCTCAGTTCCAATAGCAGCACCTGAGGGCTGGGTTCTCTCAGGTTTCTTGGCACACCTGAATTGCTAGGGAATTGTGAGAACCTGAGATTTCTTCAATAATTTACACCCTTGCTCCTCCTTGGCAGGATCACATGGCCTTGGACAAAGTTGGTGAACATTATCCTGAGAAACCTAATCTCCTAGGTCCAGTAACAACAAGGAGAACAATACCAAGGATTACGCTGAACTCTGGCCAGCACCGTGGGAGATCTGGCCTAGCTGCAGGCCAATGAACCCAAAAGGCCTCTTAAGTTCAGCAATGGGCTTCACTTGCTGGGAGGTGGAGGATAATTGAGAAAAAGGAAGCCGAACACTTAGGGACCCTTAGGAAAAAGATGGAGGCTCTGTTTTGCCCGACCTCACTAGCCACAGGGCTTCTGCGCGAGGTTATTCTCACAGAGATGCCCCATTCCCCACCCGCCTAGGACATTGTCTAGACTGGAGGGGCTGCTTTTTCCTCCTACCTGTGCTCTGGGCCCATCCCCATCCCTTGTCTCATGTGCTCCCTCTTTATCCTTTGTTCCATCCCTCAACACAGAAACACACTCGGATCTTTAGAATCTTAACATCAACCCTCTCATTGTCCCTCCAGGTGTTACTCTACTTCCGACTCTTCCTTCCTGGATGAGCCCCTGGAAAGCGACTGAGGGCACCACCTCCTCCCTCACCACCCACTACCCACTGTTCACCGGCTCCATTCAAGCAAAGATAACCCAGTGGTTTAAATACCCCAAATAGGTCCTGAGCAGCTGGGTGCTCCACAGACAAACTCTGAACTTGATATTCACCAAAAGGTAATGAACACCTTCTTTTCCCAGGCATTGAACTATAAAGTAAATATAATTAGGGTGAAGGAGCTTATGATTTGGTAGTAAACAGAGTCATAAACCAACCATCACCGGTTTGATTGTTAATGGGTGCCACTGAGCTTTGTCCAGATGTTATGAGAACCCCAGGGAGAGCACCGTACTGGAAGAGCAATCCCTCAGAGAAGGCTTTCTGTAAGAACTGGGCTGGAAAAGAGGTCTGAAGGATACGCGGGAAGTGAGAAGAAGAAACTGGGATTTTACCTATGGAACTCCAATTTTAAGTGACAGAAGCCCAACGCGGACTAGATTAAGCAAACCCAGGGGACTACACAACTGGGACTACTAGGGGAAGCTGGCCTCAGACCCACGCAAGGCATCCACGTCTGCTGCTGCCCTCACACTGCCTCTGCGGCTTCTTCCTCTGTATCGGGCTCATTCTCCTAATCAGCCAAGCTTCCTCCATGTTTCAGGAATAGGAGAGATATGGCCACAGGTAGTTCTGGGCATACAGCACACCAGTTTTTGGCTCTGTGTCATATGCTGTGTGCACCTGTGCTCTGTGGATGCCTGAAGAACAAGAGATGAGAGAAGCAAGAAATGAGCCCTGAGTCTCATTTATTAGCCCAGATGGAGGAGGGATGCCCAGTGAACTGTAGATACCAGATATATAAATAAATGAATGCCATCCCCTGTCACCAAGATGGCAACTATAAGCACCTCCATAACTAAAAGAAAGAAAGAAAGAAAAAGAAAATAAAATGTCCTAAGGTGTTAGTGAACTACCCTGGAACAAAGATGTCTTCCTCATCAACTCCTAACATTCATGTTCCGTTTCTCTATCTGTGCATCTCCTCTTGCTATAACTCTTTACGTCATCTAGCCATGCATGATTTAGAACTAAAACCTGCAGTGTGTGTGTGTATGTAAAATGTTTTATGTTACCTGGATTGTTTCCCAAAAGTGAATGGTTATGTAATTTTTCTGAGTCATGAGTTTTTAAATTTTCATATTATGGCAGCACCTGGTAGAGTTTTATCCCTAGAGGTTCTGCATTTTGAACATACATATATAAAAACACCCCTTAAGCTAGGCACACACACACACACATTATATCATTGTTGTAATCCATTACAGGTATTACAGGTGTTACAGGTATTGATATAAGGTCCTTCAAATACTTTTAGTTTTGTGACAGAGTCTCACTATGTTGCTCTCGGTAGAGTGCTATGGCGTTATAGCTCACAGCAACTTCAAACTCTTGTGCTCAAGCAATCCCTTTGCTTCAGCCTCCTGAGTAGCTGGAACTACATACAGGTGCCCATCACTTTGCCCCGCTTAGCTTAGAGTCCTGCACCTCAGGCATTTTCACCTGGCTTCACTCAAGGTTCCACTGGGAACTGATCCACTTCTAAGCAGGCTTCCTTCGGGCTGCTGGGCCAAGGGCCTTGGTTCCTGGTTGGCTGTCGGCCTCAATTCCTTGACATTTGGGCCTCTTCAACATGGCAGCTTGTTTTAGCAAAACCAGCAAAAGAGAGTCTATGTCGCAATCTTTTGTAACCTAAACACAAATGTGATATTCTTCTGCACAATGCCTTGCTTAGTTTTTCTTTTTCTTTCTTTTTTTTTTTTTTTTTTTGAGGTAGAGACCTGGGAGCAGGGGTGTCCCCCTCTAGCTCAGCTGATCTCGAACTCCTGAGCTCAGGCAATCCACCTGCCTCGGCCTCTCAGAGTGCTAGGATTATAGGTGTGAGTCACCACGCCCAGCCTTTACTCTTAAATATTTTATTGAAAACCAAACTTAATGCCAAAGTGAGCTAACATTTGTCTTTCCACTGGGATAATAATTCAGACTGTGTAATTGCCTGTGATAGAGAACAAGTGTGAACCTGTCTAGGCAAAGGGGGAAATATGTTGACTCAAGTAACCAAGCAGATCATGGGTGCCGCCAAGATCTCCAGTGCGACCAGGCCTCTCTCTGCACAGAAGGTTGCTCTTCTCTGTGAGGACCTTGCTTCTCAGGGCCACCAACATCTTGATCTTCCAGTTCTGCCATTAGAATGAGACTGAGATGCCTGCTGTCAGGCCCTGAAGTCTAAATCACTAGGAAGAGGCTCTGTTTTCCTCAGTGTGAGTCACACACCCATCTCTGGATCAATCAAGTACAGTCAAGGGTACCAGGTGTTAGGCCCCACCTGAGCCCGGGAGGGGACCCTGTTGGAGCATGATTGCCTCAATGGAACCACACAATGGGAAGAGGCCAAATTGGCCAGAAGAAGATAAAGAAAAACCGGGCAGATGAGACAACTCTTTCTTGCCCTCACAGTTTGTCTCTCTTGCACATACACACACACAAGGTGTATATGAAAAGAGAATAAAACTTGGAGGGGGAAAGAGTCCTAGAGGAGGACTCTTTAAGCTTGAATTCTGTTTCTACCACCTACTTACACGTTGAAAACAAATGAAATCTTCCCAGCAACAATGATAAACAAGTTGAAACTTGCACGGGTGAATTAGAAAGGGTACTGGTGACTATGTTTCTTGGAAATAAAAGAATGGATCCTAACTTTTCCTAATGGATCCTCAAAACTTTCTTAGTGACCCATGTGTAACCACAAGTCAGTTAACTTCTCTGCTCCAGACCTTGGGGTTCCAGTTTATAAAGAGGCAATAATAGTACTTGTCTTTTCTATTCCAGAGGGCCACTATGAAGATAAAGTATAGCCAGTTGACAGCAAATTTTGTTCTTACAAAATCCACGTTTACTTGGAACCTCAGAATGTGATCTTCTATGGAAACAGCGCATTTGCAGATATAACTGATCAAGAATCTTAAGATTAAATCATCTTGTGTTTCAGGCACAGGGAAAGTCAGAGAAAAAGGGAATGTGAAGCTGGAGGCAGAGATTGGAGAGATGCGTCCCCCAAGCCAAGGAGCACTGGGACTGCTGGCAGTCACTAGAAGCTGGGGGAGCAGGATGGGTGGTTTCTCCTTGACAGCTAGCTCTCAACCTTGCTGACACTTCGATTTTGGACTTCTGGCCTCCTGAACTATCATAGGATAAATATCTGTTGCTTCATACCACCTGTTTTGTGGCAATTCATCATGGCAGTCCTAGCAGATATATAAGGTAAGATGCAAAGGGTGAAAAAACCCAGGAGGATGTTATTATAAGCAGAGTGATTACACAGAACCCTACCAAACTCATAGTTATTTTGCCTAGTTCAGAGTCCAGACCTGTTCCTATCATATTGTTCCATACCTTAATCCAGCCAGTGGTCACCTCTCATCTGTGCAGGAGTGACCTGCAGCTTGGAAGTCATCACTGAACTCAGGCAGACATTCAAAGGACTCAGTGCCACCTCTGGATGATGCCTGTTGAGTGCTTGTCATGGTTTTAGGTGCTCCATGAACAGTGCTCTTCCACACACAGCAGACGGGCACAACAATTAGTACTTGGTTGAACTAAGATTAGAATCCAGGTGGCCAGGCTTGAGAAGCTGTACATTAACCACCTCTCCATGCTGCTTCCAGGCAGTGGGAACCATCCTGTCCAGACCTGTTTGGCACAATACAGTTATTGCCAGAGCTTTGCGCTGTCAGCCTGTACTTCTCACTCATCCCACTCCTCCCCCAAAATCAAGGGGAATAACAGGCTCTGAAAACCCCCATGTTCTTGAAACCAGCGCTTCTTAAGCCAGCCCCTGCCTTCTATCTTCTCCTTGGATAACTAGCTCCAGAGGCAGAAATCCTTTCCGTAAGAGAAACGAGCTGGTTAGAAATAGGAACCAGCTAGAATCCAGCTCAGGCACGCAGTGTTGGGTGGGATGGAGGAGCAGCTGATGGGCCCAGGCTGAGTGATAGATCTTGTTACTCACGGAGAAGCTGGGTTCCTACCTGCATCCACAGAGTAGGGTTTCAGGGGGTGCCCCCACCCCATTCCTAAGTGCTGAGCTTCTGAGTTTTTCAGATACCCTCTAATCACCCCCACAACCAGAAACCCTCAGCTGCCTCTCTGCCTCAGTTCCCAGCTCCATGGGCCCCATCCTCACGCCCAGCCTGTCACTGACACAACTCTCTCTGAATCCTGCAGGGGTCCTCAACTGCCCACCAGCCCTTGGTGACCTCATCTACTTTCGTCACTTCTGAATTTCTCTCTCCAGTCCCGGCACACCCCTGAGCTTTGGACTCATGTATTCACTCATGTGACATGCCCCCTCAGACATTAAGTGTCTGAAACTTAACATGGTCATCATTTTCTTGCCCCAGGCATCCCCATCTCAGCAAATGGCACAATTCACCCCACTGTTTCAGCCCTGAGCCCAGGAGTCATCTCAATTCCTTTGTACTTTCAATTCATAGGCAAATCAAGTTGAACTCTTCTTCCAGAATACATTCTGAGCTGCCTTGGTGCCACAATCTCCCACCCTGGTGGAGGCTTCGCCCATCTCAAGCCTGGACACTGCAGCCCCCTCCCAGCTGGGCCCCTGCTTCCATCATGGTCTCTTTGATCCATTCCCCACATAATGGCCAGGCATCCGTAAAAACCTATAAATCAGTTTCATTGCTCTGCTTAAAACCCTCCAGTGGCTTCCATGGGACTCCAAATCTAAGCCACAGTCCTCTTGTGGCCCTTGGGGGCCTCCTCTCCTGCCTCCCCTTGTATTACACTCTCCTCTCTCAGTTGTCTGTCACTGTCCAGCCACGTGGGGTCCCTGGCTGTGCCATGCTTTCCCACCCCAGGCCTGGTGCCACTTCTGTCCCCACTCCTTGGAGTGCTCTGTTTGGGTCCTCACAGGCTGCCTGCTTCTTGTCATTTGGCTCAGGTATCTTCTTCCCAGACAGGGCCCCGATCACCACTCTGCTTCCAGTCATACTCTATTCCATCCCTAGGTGTGACTTTCTTCCTGGCTCTTATAAATAAAATTAGTCTTTCATCATTATCTGCCATAGCTATGTTCTTAGAAGTCACCACAAACACTGAATTACTAAACACTGAACTAGTGAGGAAACACAAGGCGAGGTTCCCACCAGCCTTTGGCCGCGACATTTTCATCAACCCAT